AAATAATAGAGAACGCAAAGAAAAGGTCTCGAATAATCTGCACAGTGTTAATAATAATGAATCGAATTCATCTGACCGATATGTTGCATTAGTAAACGCCAACTGCGATCAAACAGCGAATTAATTACTAAAATAATACTTACGTCTGTCTGGGATGAACGAAATGAGGGGGGCTACGTTGTTGCTGGTGTCTTGACTTGTTAGCTTGCTTGCTATCGTTGAAGAGTTACCTGCCTTTTAGTGATGACTGCTGGATAGTTACTGGCCCTTTATTGTTCTCGATGACTTGGTTAACTTGGTACTCGGCTCTGCAACACGATTCCGCTCGCTCTTTATAGCCTCGCGGGGAAGCCACGGATGTGGCGCAGGGTGGGAAGGGAGAGAGGAGGGAGGGAGGGAGGAAGGGAGGGGGTGGATAAGGGAGGGGTGGGTGGGGCAGGGGGCGGAGCTGTGATGGCAATAAAGAAGACAGGAGCTGAGAGTGAGAGGAGTCATAGGTGTATGGCAAAACTGTGTGATCACAGTTTGGATTTTTCTTTGCTTTAATCCCATCAAACGCAACTCGAGCGCCCACACAAACTTTATGTTACGTTTAAACTTGTTTATTGTTTGTTTGTTTGGGGTCTTTTTTTCAAGATATTTATGGGGGTTTTTTTCTAGAAGAACGAATGTGATTTTTCTGACAGCTTCCTCTCCTATCGGCATGCACGATTTTAACCTGCCCTACTCCCCCAGAGCCCCCCCCCACAAAAAAGGAAAATAAATCCCCAAAAGACCACACACTGACGATCTAAACAGAAAAACAACTTTCCGACAACGACAACGACAACCCACAAAAAAGGAAAATAAATCCCCAAAAGACCACACACTGACGATCTAAACAGAAAAACAACTTTCCACATCGAAATTTCTGATAGCTGTCGAGGCTCATTTTTATTTGTCTATATTTCCCACAAAGTCAAGAATATTCCGGCTCAATGAGACGATCATAAACCCTGCACTGGGCCTTCTTTCTACAGTATAACTAAGTTTTCAATATATCTTAGTCGACTCAGTTGTTATTGCAATAACTATCACATTTGTAATAATAATTTCTGTTATTATTGTTATTATTATCATTATTGGTATTGTTATTGATATCATTATTATAATCAATATTATTTTCAATACTGTTGTTGTTGTTATTATCAGTATTATTAATTGGCCTATCATTATTGTCATTGTTGTTGTCATTATTATTATTGTTATTAATA